GTAGACCTTCCCTAAACTCTCCCTAAACCCCTCATCCAACTCTAAACAAACACTCTCCATGGCGACGCGTTACTCTAGTCATGGCATGCCCATAGATATGTAGATTGTTTCCTGTCAGTGGCGGCGTAGAAAGGCGTTTCCTGCTGTTTTTGTTGCTGTGATAAGAGAAAGGCTGAGTGGGCACTTTGACTTGGGAGTTGTGTACTCAAGGCTTTTTATCCATAGAAGTAGCATGGCTGTAAGGATGGCAGTGTGTGGTCAACCCACCGCTTTGGTCGATGGATTGCCGTGAAGTCTGTAGTGCCACCGTGAGGTTTTTTTGGCTTTTAATGACATGTCTTGGGCAATTATTGGCCGAATTAGCATGAAATTTGGTGCAGATATTCATGAATCCCAGAGGCTGAAGTCTAATGACTTTAGTGATCCTCTAACTTTCTCTCCAGTGCTACTGTGAGGTTTTGTGTAAATGGTTTCCAGAACTATTGGAAGGATTGCCATGAAATCTGGTGCAAACATTCATCTCGTCATCAGACTAAACTTTAAAATCTTGTATACTTTGATTTGTGACCTGCAAGAAAGAACAATTCAACTAAAACAGTAGACCTTTTTAACAGCAGCCAGTTTGACATGAAATAGTCGGGTAAAACACAGGTGTTACCAATGATACTAATAATTAACATAATTGGTTACACCTGTGTTTATCCAACTATTTCATGTCGAAAGAGCTGCTGTGAAAAGCATCTATTCCTTCCTAAAACTGGTGATGTTCCCATCAACCTCAGGTGTGCTAACATGGTTAACATTACCTGCTAAACATCAACATGTTAGCATTAGCTTTCAGCACCACTGTGCTAAAGTACAGCTTTACAGAGGGCCTAGCATGACTGTAGACCAGGAATCTTGAACTGTCGGCTCAGGGGCCATTTGTGGCCCTCCATTCGCTGTCCTCTGGCGACATAATCTAAAAAATATAATATAATTTGGCCCTCAAGATTCATTTTTTGGGCTGCAAACAATAAAGATGATGTTTTTGTTCAATATTGTTAGTAATGGAAAAACAGAACATCGCCCTTTCTTGTAGTACTTAAACGTTGAAGTGACCCTCCTATGAGATTATATCAGCAGTGGCCCCGAGCCAACTTGAGTTTGAGACCCCTGCTATTAGTTATGTTTACTTTAGCGTGAATGTTTGTAAATAAATCTGCGAACCGATCGGCCATCTTTAACCGACCATTCATCATTAGTTAATCCTGAATTTCCTCTTCAGCCTTTCCATTGTAAAAGGCCAACAGTTGAGAGAAGTTCCCTTCTTGCGTACACTTTTTTTTTGGGG